ATATATATATATATATATATATATATATAATCTTTATTCAGAACTGTGGTGTGTATATAAATGTGTGTGTGTGTGTGTATACATACAGTTCCAGAGTGAGATGTTGGAAAGTTATAACTATGCATTATTGTCCTGGGTTGTTTCTGGTCTTTGACTTTGTATCACTCCCTTCCTTCTACACACATAATATTAGATTATAGTTCTGGTTTTTCTGATCTGAAAGTTGGAATGACATTACATTGTTAGAATGAGAATGTTAGTGAGATTTTCAAGTGTTTTGCAACTTGGAACATTTCCTCCAACACATTCTTTTAAGTTCTTGAAATTTTTGTTTACAGTTCACAAGTGAAATTTGACTACAAAGGCCAGAATATTCTGCTTTATGCCTATTATTAAGAACTTGTTAGAACTGGTTCAGAGGACTTTGTGTTTATAAATACTGAATCCAGAAACAGGCTACGGGTAACGGCTGAAATGAAACAGAACTAGCCTTCTTGGCTGAATGAGGGAAATATTTGCAAAAACTCTTCCTCTTTCATGAGAGGAATCAAGGGAACTAGGAGGTTAAACAGGCTCAGATGGTGTGGCTGGAAGTCAGAAACTTGCCAGGCCTCTTTCTAGATCATTGCTTGTTAACTCTTTCTCTGGAGTTAAGATATCATGTCAGGACTATGAAAAAACAGTCTCCCTTTTCTGGCAAGTGAGGAGTTTTGTTGTGATTCTGTCATTCTGTGGACACACAGAAAGGCAGGATGTGATGATGACTATTTACCATCAAATCTCTTCTTTGTCTACCAAACAGCAACATCCTACTTGGCGATTTTCTCCACTCTTCAGTCATTGAAAAACAAACAAACAAAAACCCAACCAACCAAACAAAATCAAATTGAGTGATTCTTAAAATTTAAAGTTCAGTAAAGAAGACTTGAGAAAAGTACACACAAAGAAGAGGAAAAAATCAATCACAGCAAAACATTGCTAATATTTAGGTGTCTGTACCGTGAAAAAATGGTTCCCCTTTTCTGGGAAGTGTGGAAAATACACCTGGATTTTTTTCAGGTAATGTTACTGTATGAGCATTGTTTTGTTGCTGATAAAGATCACAGATACAGTAGATGAAGTGGTTTAAAGTTGAGACCCTGGCACTAAGGTGCCTCGGTTCAAACGACAGTCTACCACCTGTGTGCTTCCTGCCTCAGTTTTATCATCTGCAAAATGGCACTGATAATGACAGCCAACTTACAAGGGAAATACTTATGTGAAGGACTTAGCACATATTTGTTATTATCATAAAACAGATTTTATTATTATAACATTAATGTATATAGTAGAAATTTTATAGATACAGAAAAGCAGAAGAAATAAAAATCACCCATTATTCTAAAACCCAGAGAAAACCACTTACCCAGTGTTAACATTTTACTATCTTTTTTAAAAAAATGCAATTTTCTCTTACATAGTTGAACTCATAGTGTATTTCCAATCTATATCCTGATAACATAAGCATTTTATATGTTCTTTGTAAACATATTTTTAAAAGACTGCATAGGTCATCTTGTGTAACCATATTTCACTTAAACTTTCGCCAAGGTTTTGACATGGAGGTGGCTATCCCTGCCCATCCCCCGCCCCACCATATTCAATATTAATGATCATAAGTTAGCCCTGGTCAGAACATTTGGAGCCTGAGCTTTTCCTGGCCAGTGTGGCGCCTGCAGCTTGTTTGTTCTATAACCAGGACAGAATCAGATCCAATCCACAAACCAGTTAACTCAGCGTTGACCGTATTATGAATGAATCTGTGAGATACATTGTTGTAAATGCTTGTTGTCCTCCATAGTAGGGCTTATTTCCTTAGACCAGAGTCCCAGGAATGGGTCAATGGGTAATAAATGTTTTTGATAAGGGTCAAACTGATTTAAACTTGTGGCGACAGTGTATGAGCCTGCCCCACTTTCTGTAGCTCCCATGCCCCCCGTCCCCTCCCCCAGCTTCTTAGATCTGAAATATTGAGGAAATTGTCAGGGGTGCCAAGACACTGGAAGAGAGTTAATCCTGATTAAAATCAGCACTCTGGCTCCTCCTTCTCTCGCCCAGTGACTTCTCTTCCTTCAGGGCCCTTCCTTCTGCCTTTCATAGCCTGTTTC